TTTTTTTTTTTTTTCTTTCAGTTGAATGGTTTACTCTCTCCCAGGTGTTCCAGTCACCTGTTGAAAAGGTGCTGGGATCTGTGTGATTTTCCATGCAGCGACCCACTGTGCCTGCACCGGCTGAAACAGCCGCACTGAGATTCATGGTGCTTTATTGCCCAGGAATCTCCTGGCCTGGCTCCCTGTTTCAGTCCCCTTTTTAATCAGATGAATGGGTGACTATGCCTTCCTGGAGCTCTAATCGCCAGCTAAAATGGCGCCTGGACCCATGTATTTTGTAAGGAGAACCGCTGTGCCTGGGCGCCGGCAAAACAGCCGTGCCGGTGAAAACAGCCTTGCAGGTCAAACCAGCCATGCTGGCGACCCATGGGGCTTCTCCGCCTGGGAATCTCCTGTTCTGTGGGCAATAAAAATCCGTCTGGAAATGTGGTGTCCACTCACCCTCCACGCTTTCACTGGGAGCTGCAATCCTGAGCTGCTCCTAATCAGCCATCTTGGATCTCCTCAGAAGTAAGTTTTTAAAGTATTTTCTTGGCTCCACTGGGATGGAAAACTTGAGTTCTTTTTCAGGCTGCCTAAGAAGTTTGGTTCAGTTTAAGTAAAATTATTTTTGTATACCCATTATGTTCAAGGCACCTACTAAGTGCTGTGAAGGATAAGTCCTGTGTGGTTATTACTCTTAAAATTTTTTTAATTTAATGGAGAGCAAAAATTAACATCTTATTTTACTTTATTTTACAGTCGAGGACCACAAAAAAACCCTGAAAGGGAATAGGTAGGCTTTGATTGGATCAGGAAAGTTTTCTTAAAGGTAGCACTCTTTGAAATAGTCAAAGATGAAGTGAAGAATAAATAATATATATTTTTCTTCAACTTTTAAGTTCGTGGTTACATGTGCAGGATGTGCAGTTTTGTTTCAGAGGTAAATGTGTGGCATGGTGGTTTAATGCACAGATCCTCAGGTATTAAGCCCAGACCTCCACAGGTGTAGAGTGTGTCCATGTGTTCTCATTATTCATTTCTTTTATAAGTGAGAACAAGTGGTGTTTGCTTTTCTGTTCCTGCATCAGTTTGCTGAGGATAATGGCTTCTAAGTCCATCTATGTCCCTGCAAAGGACAAGATCTTGTTCCTTTTTATGATTGCATAATATTCCATGGTGTTATGTACCACATTTTCTTTAATTGATGGGCATTTAGGTTGATTCCATAACTTTGCTATTGTAAACAGTGCTGCAATGAACATACATGTGCACGTATCATTATAATTGAATGCTTTATATTCCTTTGATTATATTCCTGGTGATGGGATTGATGGGTCAAATGGTATTTTTGGTTCTAGATCTTTGAGAAATTGCCACACTATCTTCCACAATAGTTGAATTAATTTATAGTCCCATCAACAGTGTAAAAGTGTCCCTTTTTATCCACAGCCTTGCCAGCACATGTTCTTCTGTTGTGTTTTGACTTTTTCATAATAGCCAATGGTATCTCGCTGTGGTTTTCATTTGCATTTCTCTAATGATCAGTGATGTTGAGCTTTTCTTTCCTGTTTCTTGGCTGCATAAATGTCTTCTTTTGAGAAGTGTCTGTTTGTGTCCTTTGCCCACTTTTTAATGGGATTGTTTGTATTTTAATAGTCAGCAATGAGGTGAGGAGAGTACACTTGAAGTGTATGTTTTCTGAGCAGAGGGAAAAGAGTAAGTAAAGACAAAGATTTTGGAAAGTAAGTAAGCAGAGGTAGGATGCCTGGAGGACACTGACTTGCTTGGCTGGAGAGAAGAATTAATGGGGATAATAAGAGGAAACTTACATTGAAAAAAATGAAAATGTGCAGCAGACTGTTGCAGGCTTTAAATGTATATTTAATTTGACAGGAAGGGTCAAATTATTTAATTGGGATTTGTATTGGAATATTAGCTTAATGTTATCAGTGCATCAGTTTGAAGTGAAAAGAGCCAAATAACTAATGGATAAAGGTTTTGGACAATTTATTTATTCTTGTGAAGACTCACTGATCTCATCTGCAAGGCAGAAACAATTGATTCCTGTGCCATGTTGTGGTTGTGTTTAAATAGAAGTGCCTGGCATGGCTTCTGGTAAGTAGTGGGTATACTGTAACAACTATTTTGTAAGCTGATTTTGTAAGCTATATGCTCTGATGATAGATAAGCAGTTCAGATAGGAACACAAGTCATTTCAATTAGTTCTATTCCTATAACAATAAAACTAAATTAGCTTTCATTTTTCTCCCCCAAGCTCATTGAATGGACACTCTAAACCAAACAAGAGTGACTGAATTTGTCTTCTTGGGACTCACTGATAACTGGGTGCTGGAGATACTGCTTTTCATGGCATTCTCAGCCATTTATGTGCTAACGCTTGCAGGGAACATTCTCATCATCATTGCCACAGTCTTTACTCCACGTCTCCATAGCCCCATGTATTTCTTCCTGAGCAATCTGTCCTTTATTGACATCTGTCACTCATCTGTCACTGTGCCTAAGATGCTGGAAGGTATGCTTTTGGAGAGAAAAACCATTTCCTTTGACAACTGCATCACACAGCTCTTCTTCCTCCATCTCTTTGCCTGTGCTGAGATCTTTCTGCTGATCATTATGGCGTATGATCGTTATGTAGCTATCTGTACTCCACTCCACTACTCCAATGTGATGAACATGAGAGTCTGTGTACAGCTTGTCTTTGCTCTCTGGTTGGGGGGTACTGTTCACTCACTAGGGCAGACCTTCTTGACTATTCGTCTACCTTACTGTGGCCCCAACATTATTGATAGCTACTTTTGTGATGTGCCTCTTGTTATCAAACTGGCCTGCACAGATACATACCTCACAGGAATACTGATTGTGTTCAATAGTGGAACCATCTCCCTCACCTGTTTCTTGGCCGTGGTCACCTCCTATACAGTCATCCTGGTTTCTCTTCGAAAACACTCAGCTGAAGGGCGCCAGAAAGCCCTGTCTACCTGCTCGGCCCACTTCATGGTGGTTGCCCTCTTCTTTGGGCCGTGTATCTTCATCTATACTCGGCCAGACACCAGCTTCTCCATTGACAAGGTGGTGTCTGTCTTCTACACAGTGGTCACGCCTTTGCTGAATCCTTTCATTTACACCTTGAGGAACGAGAAGGTAAAAAGTGCCATGAAGCAGCTCAGGCAGAGACAAGTTTTTTTCATGAAATCATATACATGATGGGCATTGGGATTGCAGACATAATTGCAGCCACATCCTTAACAAAAGAGCAAAAGTAAAGAGTCAAAATCCACTTCTATAACTTGGTAAATCAGGTAAAATGGCATGGAGCAGGTCAGGTTTCTGCACTGAATATAAGAACTTATTAACTGTTGTTTAAATAAAACAAAAAATCATAGTGGATGATGTAAGAAAAATAACCCAGGGAAGTTTAAAGACACCAGTAAGAGAATACAATTTGGGGAACTCAGTTCAGTCTCAGTTTCAGGAGCAGGTAGAGTGAGAAGCAACTCTCTTGATTTATACTGTTTTGTGGGCTATTGCCTCTGGGAGGCTATACATCACTCCTGAGATTTATATATGATAGTGGTTTCAATCTTGCTTTCCAATATATTTTCAAGTGTATAAATAAGCCCTTACTTATTTATATCAAATTAAACTTTTATTGCTTTTGAATGTAATTCTCTCATGTCTAGATCTATTTAGTACTTTTTTTGAGACGGAAATTTTTTGCACTATTCCAGCAACTTCCTGTAAGTCTGAAATCATTGCCAAAATAAAAAGTTAAAACAAAACAAAACTATACACCCACCAGAATGGTAAAAATTAAAAAGTTAGAAAATGCCAATTTTTGTTTGTTTTTTTTGAGACAAGTATCACTCTGTTGCCCAGGCTGGAGTGCAGTGGCGCAATCTCAACTTACTGCAACCTCCATCTCCTTTAAGCAATTCTCCTGCCTCGGCCTCCCAAAGAGCTGGGACTACAGGCGCATGCCACCATGCCTGGCTAATTTTCGTATTTTGAGCAGAGAAGGGGTTTCACCACTTTGGCCAGACTTGTCTCAAACTCCTGACCTTAAGCCACCTGCCCCTCTCGGCCTCCCAAAAGTGCTGGGGTTACAGGTGTGAGCCACTGTGCCTGGCCTATTTTGTACTTCTTGTAGTACTTTATTTTGATGAAATCAAGACAAAGATATATAAATTCATATAAAAATACACTTTCTTTT